CGGTTTTCTTCACTTGGCCAAATTTCGAAGAGGCATTTGAGACACCTATTGGTTAAAGAGGGTGGTTATGACTAGAGGTGCAAATGAACCGAACACGAACGAACAGAGCTTGTGTCCGTGTTTGGTTCGCTTGAAATTTAATTTATTTGAAATAAACTCATGTTTGAAATTGTTCGTGAAGTCACTATTCGTGTTCATTCTTAACGAACGAGTCGAACACAAGTCGAACACGAGCTGTTTGCGAACAACAAGCCAGTTTGACATTCCTAATATTAATATATATAAATAATATATTATATTAATTATATAACTTATACTATATAAATATATAATATCGATATTAGTATATTACTAATATAGTATATTAATATATTATTATTATTAAGTTATTATATATTATAATTTATAAAATTTAATTTTTTAAATATCATAAATTTTTTATATATAATTATGTTAAATTATTTTATATTTCCAACAATAACGATTCGAATACGAACGAATACATCACTGTTCATGTTTGGTTTGTTTAACTAACCAAACGAAAAAAATTTGTTCACGTTCATCTCATTTGCTTATCGAATGAATCAATGAATGAATCGAACGCAAACTCATTAACGAACCGAACACGAACTGTTTGCGAACATCGAGCTTTTTTGACAGCCTTAGCTATGACCACTAGAAACAAAAATATTATTAAAAGACTTGTGAAAGGAGGCATCCCTTGGAGAATACATCAAATTTGGACAAATTTTGAAGAATTTTCAAGACACCTCTTGGGAAATTTATAAAAGAAGAAAGTTGAGACATTTGAGATGGGTGCTTGAAGAGGGAGAGAGTGTTGAGTCCTGAGAAGATTGTGGAGAATCTTGTGGAGAGATTCAGACACCACAAATTTACTTTTTTTTTCATTTTGTTTTAAGTTTTATTTTAAGGGTATAGAGTGTTGTAAAAGAGAAGAGATTCAAAGGAACTTCAAGAGTTTGGTGGAATATTTAAGATAAGTTATTATCTTTGTTTTTAAATTATTTTTGGTTTTAATCGAGACTTCTTGTTAGTTTGACAATGATTTCTACTTTTAAATTAAAGTGTGGTTTTATTTTCTCCATGGATTCTGAGTAGTTTTCTTTATCTTGCTCCTTAAAATGATAAGTAATTAAAAGTGTTGGATGGAATTTGTGGAGAGTATTGATCTTTAATGATGGAAGAAGTTGTGATGATTTAAAAGAGAGTACTAATTTTTAATGTTGGAAGAATTTGTGATGATTTAATTACATGCACTTCATTTACTTCTTAATTTGGCCTATCCAGATGTTAAAATTTGTTGTGAGAACATGTAAGAACCGGGCTGGTATTGTCTCAGTCAACAATTGGAAAAAATCACATGATGTTATATAAATGAGAATGTAATTCATATGATTTAGTGCAAATAAATAGAGAAATAGACTTTGAAGGGTGTAGAGCTAGAAGACTTTAATGTGAAAAGTTAAAGCCCCCAACTTGGTTTATTGTTTTAGGTTCTGATACGAGATGTTAGCCCCCTGGTGGAGGGAATCGAGGAAACTCTAGAATAAGAGCTAGTATCTTTTCTACCTAACCGATCTTCAAGATTATTCAAACTATAGATTAGCCAATGTTCTTTATAGCAATCCACAACAGAATTTGTGTACTTATTATTGATTCATGAAAAGGAGAAATATATTTTCATATTTTGTGCTTTTCTTTTACATAAACTCAAGCTATTTAGAAATTGTTACTGTTTTGTCAAAATATCAAAAATACCAAAAAAATTTGAATTTTAATTACTGTCAAATTAGCTATAGTTTAAGTAATCGTCTTTTTGAAATAGAAGTTTGTTGTTTGAAAGTGGCATATTGTGAACAATTCATGCTCCCTATGGGTTCGATATTCATGTCTTACTCAAAAAGTCCTACATTACTTGAAAATTATACGTATACTTGCATAGTATCTCAATATATATGAATTAAAAGTTAAATTCTTATTTTTGTTCAGGATCAAGTTTTTGGTTTTGTTGTAATGTAAGGAGATATAAGTGAAATATAATCTTCAGAATCAAATTTTTGATATTGTTGTAAAGTAAGTAAATATAAGTGAAAATATAATCTCATACATTGTTATGTTGTTGCCTGTAGCATGTAAACAATTTCGGGATCACATATTAATGGGGACGGGCCTACCAATGAAGAAAGAGTTCAAATATTACTTATTAATTTTTAACGAGCACAATTAAATATGGCCAATGCACAAATAAATTTTATATATATATA